GCACTCTGTAAAACAATATTTGGGAAAAAATATCAAATACAGCTCAGAAATACATTTGCTAAATTTTATCGAGATCGGTTCAGATTTGGATATAGCTCCCATATATAACTGCGTCCGATTTGCCTTTTATTGTGCACCAAACGTCTAATATTTGCCAAAATGCGATGGAATTTGACACATACGACCGAATTGAGTCTTAAAGCTAGTATGTCAAATTTGGTGAAGATCGGTTCAAATATAGCTATAGCTCCCATATATATTGTTCATCCGATTTCTAGTATTTGTTACCCACAGCCGTAATATGCACTCCGTAACAACGATATTTCAGGAAATATATCATATACAGCTCAGAAATATATTTGCAAAATTTTTTCGAGATCGGTTCAGATTTGGATATAGCCCCATATATCTCTTTATCTGATTTTAAATTAATTTTGCACCAAATGGGCAATACAAGTCCGAATTTAAAAGATACAAATGCTTCGGCATATTTTGTCCTTTGAACTTTAAATTATAATTATAATCATAGCGTGTATGATTGAAAAAACTCGCCCGCCCGACATTAGGACTTTCTTTACTGGTTCTATTTCTATGTGTGTGTATTCATTCTGTAAACTAAAACCCTTAACAACCTCTTCAAAAAATCAAAAAATTTTAAATTCTGAAGAAAAATATTTTTAATATTATAAAATTTCCACTCCGACATCTATATTTTTACTTTAATTCCTTTTCAATAACCCTTTTAACCTTTACACCTCACTACACAAGCATTCACTATACCACAGCATTGGGATATGCAAAATTATTCGCTTTAGTATTGTATTGCATTGAGGCGAACAGAGAGCTATGTTAAGTAGTGAACCACTACACACACACATACAAAGTCACATATGAATGGGTTTTGTTTTGTTGGCTGGCTGACTGACTGGGCTGGTATGGTATGGTATGGATCAACAGCATATTGTTTGGTTGCATTGAACCTTATAATTAAATTTAAAACCACAATTTTATTGTCAACCCAAATCGAGTGTATTACGTTACCGATTGTTGTTGGTACGATGACGTTCGTTACGCTGCTACAACACATAACGGACTAAACACATGCATAAAAGTCAAGTCGAGCATTCCCACAGACGCACACAGTGAATAGTTTAATAGTACGACTTGGGGTTTGTATGTATGTCGTAAGGACATGTGCTGGTCCATTCATTGATCGTTGGGTACTTTCAGTTTTCAAAAGAAGGGCCTTCTACCAAAATTCTCAATGTTTTGCATTTGTATTTGTGGTTCAATTCATTAAAGTTCTCCTACATTCCAGTAATATGGATTTGTGTGCAGCAGCTACATTGTGGTGGGTGTGAAATGAATTTGATTGAATGAATGCATGATTTATTGAGCAAAACGAAAAACACACACACACACAATACTTCAAAAATCTTATCGACGACAACAATCACCGCACACACACACATCTCTGAACATTTGTTGCATTGCTCCAAAAGCATTGACGATGATGTTGTGGTGCCTTTTGCAAATTTTATGCAATTGAGAGCTAGCATTTGGAATTGATTGCTGAATGACTTGCTGACTGACGAACTGCTTGGCTGGATGGCTGCCTGACTGGTGTCTTGGTACTTATTATGCAATTTTCTATACAATTGATTATGCAATCTTTATTTTTGGGTTTTGGTTTCAATTTGAGAAAATAATTCCATCGACAAATGGAAATTGACAAAGTTATTTGTGAGGTATATAGATGTGTATGTAGGCCCTTTTGAGGGAAGTGAATATTGATAAAGTTTTTAGGATTTTATAGAACATTACACGACACTACAACGCCGTTCGGTGCACGTTCGCTTATCCAGCAAAAATTTAAAAGTTATATGAACGGAATAACCCGGACCCCGGCCGAAATAATGACATTTTTTTTCGAAATTCTCACGAAAAGTACTGAAAATTGTAGACTTGGTATTCAATAAACGAAATAAGCTAGAATTCTTGCATTTAGAAAGAGAGTTACGGATGGAGTACAGAATAAATGTAGCAACGTTTTTTTTTTTTTTTTTTTTGGAAATTCGAACATTAACGTTACGAAAAGTTTTAAATTGGTACTCAATTCGGCCGGGCTGAACTTTTAATACCCTCCACCATTTGGTACAAATTTGGCAATTACCAAAAAAAAAAAAAACAAAAAAAAAAAAAAAAACCGTTTAAAATTCTGTTAAAATCTTAAAAATACCGAATGCCTATACGACGACGTAGACCTGCATAGGCAACTTTTGTCATAAGTTATTACAATATTTAAATGCGAAACTTGAAGAAAAATCTGTTTATAATGTTTATAATCATCTGTTTATAATCATCAAAATGCCGAATATCGGGGGGTACGGCATATGGGGGCTATACGAAGACGTGGACCTACATGGCCCATTTACTGTTTTATGCGGAAGTATCTATTACGAACTTCAAATACCAAATTTGGAACGATTCCGTAAAATAATGTCGCTAAAATCATCAAAATACCGAATATCGGGGGGTACCGTTATATCAGGGCTATATGAAGACGTGGACCTACATGGCTCATTTTTTGACTTAGGATGTAGTATCCATTACGAACTTCAAATGCCAAATTTGAAACGATTCCGGTAAAAAATGTCGTTAAAATCATCAAAATACCGAATATCGAGGGGTACCGTTATATGGGGGCTATACGAAGACGTGGACCTGTACATATAATTTTCTGTCTTAGGCAGTAGTATCCATTACGAACTTCAAATGCCAAATTTTAAACAATTCCGGTTAAAAATATCGCTAAAATCATCAAAATACCGAATATCGGGAGGTACCGTTATATGGCTATATGATAACTTGGACCTACGTGGCCCATTTACGAACTTAACCTGCCTACTGGCAAAATAGACATGTGTGCAAAATTTTAGCCTTCTATCTCAATTTGTTCGAAAGATAGCGTGATTACAACAGACAGACAGACAGACACACAGACAGACAGACAGACGGACATGGCTAAATCGTCTTAGAATTTTACGCTGATCAAGAATATATATACTTTGTTGGGTCTGACATGAGTATTTCGAGGAATTACAAACGGAATGACAAAATTAATACACCCTCCATAGTATGGTGGAGGGTATAAAAAGTGGCATGATGTAAGTTTTTCGGCTTTAATTCGCTCAGTCGTGTCCAGAGTCGCCATACGGACCCACTAAACCTTACGGAATAAAACAATTTATTTTTCCCACTTGGGGGCCAAAAATGAGTGTTTATTTATATAAGTACATTATACATCAAACGAAATGCGACGGGTTGATAGACCGGGGGATGTGGTGTTGGTTGCTGGTGGCGGCAGTCGGTAATGACGGGGTGTGTTGAGGTTCAGGTTTTGCCACGATCAGAACGACGAAGATGATGTGATTCGGGAAATTCGGCCGATGATCAGGGAACGAACGATGCAAAGAGTTTCGAGAATTCGGCTGATGTTTGGGAATTTGGCTGATGATCGGGGTCGGCAATGTGAGGCTGTTATTACTACTACTTCTACGTGCTACGATCACAAACTACTCCGTAATTATAAGAACAGGAAATAAGAGCGCCTGCGGGGTACGGTACGGTGATACAGGAATCCGAAGACTCTGTGTGAGACGGAAAGCCGAGGCCTCCGCGGGGTACAGCAATCCGAAATCTCTGAGGGGAACGGAAACCTCCGTGGGGTACAGGAAACCGAAGTTTCTGTGTTATGTATTGATATGGCTTCCACTATGGGACGCCTTTCCAAAAGTCGTTACCAACACTCATTGGGAACGACAACCAAAAATATGGTAAAAGGCCCCATTCAGTAGCCTGTCCTAATTAGCAAATACCAAAGCATTAAAGGCTCAAGTGACCGAAGTGAATGAGAATTATATTACTTGACCATAATAAATGCGTTGAAATGCAAAAATAGAATGATGTACGTAATAGGTAGTACCTATTACGATATGTACGCAGCACTTATCAATATGTACGTGACATCCACCACGTTACAATGAGAATCAGGTTTGGAAAGTAAGTTTGATATATGAAGTAAATGGCACTAGATGTTGAACAGTTCGGTTTAGTGTGAACGGGTGAAGCGGGAAATTTGAAACCTTAATTGGGGTCCCTATTAGTGTTAGATTGTGATAAAGAGGGGGTTTTTGAATGTGTACAACAAATGCACGAAAAGTACGAAATACTACTATATTTGGTACAATCACCTATGGATTGAATATATAGTGATTGTGAAGAGTACAGAGTGGTATAAAACCTGGTATTGGATGAAGGAATGTGGCTGGTATCCTCAGATATGATATAGGCTTCTCTGTTGGTATCTATGGTTAAGATATGGAGGAATTTTTGGAAATATGTACTATAATTGTTCGAAAAGTGCTCAGTTGTACTAAATTAAGTATTGGGTGAGGGGAAATATCTGGGATCCCGAAAATCGATACTGAAGTCCCTGTTTGTATCTAGAATTGAGATGAAGAGCTGGTTTTGGAAATGTGTACTAAATGTGCGAACTCTATTAAATGGTACCTAATTTGTAACCGTTTGACTTAGGGTGAACGAATGAAGCTGCAATTTTGGAATTTGTATTGGGCTCCTTGTTGGCGAAATTTAGTATTTGGCGTTAACCATGCCCAATCACGACCAACACTTGCAAATCATTAAAATTTATTGTCAAAATGGCTGCTCTGTTTAGAAGATAAAACTTTTTCAAACAAAATGGAACCATTTCTAAAATGTATAAAATCTTTCCTAAACTTAATAAAAGCTTTTCCAAATGGATAAATGTTCAAAAGCTTTCACTTAAATTGGACGAAAGAAAACGATTTAATTTAATTTGGAAAAAAAAACAAATCAATCCATCATACCTTAATTAATAAAACATATCCCTTTGGAATATTTGAAATACTAAAATTAATTAAAAATAACATTTTCTTTTTCCCCCATTTTCATTGCAGTGTGCCAATGTAATGGTCATGCCCGTCGCTGTCGCTTCAATTTGGAACTGTATAAACTATCCGGTCGTGTGTCGGGCGGTGTATGCTACAATTGTCAGCATGATACCACAGGACGTTACTGTCACTATTGTCGAGAGGGTTATTACCGGGACAATACCAAGCCGCTTAATCATCGTAAAGTCTGTAAACGTAAGTATAAAAAAAAAAAAAAAAAAAAAAAAAAAAACATTTGCGTCTTATCAGGTGGTTGAAATCTCCAAAAAAAAATCAGTCCACTTTAACCCCCATACAAAATGGTGAAAATATAACTACATTTCTAAAATACCAAAACTTTAATGATTGGGGGTAAATGTCTCTAGAAAAACAATGGCCAAACACCATCAAGCCAACAATTACCCATCAAAACAATGGAAGAGGGGTTAGGTCAACATTTCAAATAAAAAGTCAAATTAAATAAATATTATATTTTGCACACATTCATCGAAACACACCCTGTAATGTTTCACCGGCTTTGTTGTTGGCATTTTTTCTACAAAACAAAAAAGCCAACAAAAAACGGAGAGGTCAAAGTTGCTAAAAAATACCACAACATCATCATTAGTTGAGGAAATCGTCGTTGAGTGTGTGTGTGTATGTGCATTTTCTCCACCCATATAACCTTTGCCACCCCTCTGCCTGCCTGGTGTATTGTAAATATGGCAACATTATCATGAATGAGCGTATCATTTTGGTATGAGGTGTAGCTTAACGTTTGATATCAAAAGTTTTTTTCTATTATTATTTTTGTTTTTGTTATCCCCTCTCTCTCTCTCTCTATTCTATATTCACTAAATAATCTGTTAGACATGACTTTCGTCATGGCAAATCGAATTTCCAAAAAACATAAAAGTCGTCAAACAAAGCCCGGGCCATTGGATTAGCTCAACCCACCATTGGAAGTGGTGGCGAGAAGAAGTCATTTGGAATGAATAGAAACATAGACAGACAGACAGACAGTTAGAAAAAAATAGAAAATAACTTTAAGTCATTAAGGTGGGATTTAAGTGGTATTTCAATCAATAATCTTTGGGATATCGAATTGGATTTGGGGAGTGAAACGAAATAGTGAAAAAAAAAAAACGATTTCAAATTGTTGGAACATTAAATACAGGAGTTAGAAATTGAGATCATGTCTGGGAGCAAATATTAAATTCAGATAGTACGATTTTCTCTTGGGGGGAATATGGTAACACATTTATTGGGAATTAAATAACAGTGGAAATAAATCAATAAGGAAAACTAATAAATAGGCAGTATTTAACAAGTTAAACGTAGCAAAATATAATAAATAACACAGTGCAACACAAAAAATAATTTCAAATAATGCTAAGGAGAGTAGGAAAATAAACATAATAATAGAAGAAACTTGGTTTAATACAAGATATCGCCCAGAAATATCTTTTGAATTGTTATCGAGATCGGTTTAGATTTGGATATAGTTTCCAAATATTTTGTTGTTGCAAACTGGTCAGGCTTAAGCCCTTCATTCGAGTTCATTGTTATTGTAATAGCCCAAATTTATGAGATTTTTGCACATTCAAACGAAATTTTCCACTTGGCGAAGCCCGGATCCCATGTATCTATGCTGCGATATATTTTTATACACTTCACCATACATAGTATGGAGGGTATATTAAGTTCGTCATTCCGTTTGTAACTCGTCGAAATAATCGTTTTAGACCCAATAAATTATATATATTTTTGGTTAGCGTAAAATTCGCGTAAAAGACGATTTAGCCCTGTCGGTCTATTATAATCACGCTAGAGTCAAAACGAATTAAGATAAGAAGCTAAAATTTTGCACAGACCAGTCTTTTGTCTGCAGGCGTTCAAAGATGTGCTACATAGGTCACAATATCGTATAGCTCGCATATAACGATACCCCCGATATTCGGTATTTGATGATTTTGCCACTTTCTTCAATGGAATAGTCTGAAATTCGATACCCCCGATATTCGGTATTTGATGATTTTGCCACATTCTTCAATGGAATTGTCTGTTTTTTAATTGCAATCCTTTTACGAAGTCATATCATGGATTTTATATCAATGCTTTTCGGTACCTCTGATGGCAAATTATATGTTATGGAGTGCATATTATGGCTGTGGGTAACAAATATGACAAATTGGATGAACAGTATATATGGGAGCTATAGCTATATCTGAACCGATCTTCACCAAATTTGACATACCAGCTTCTAGACTCAATTCGGTCGTAAGTGCCAAATTCCAGCCCATTTGGGCAAATATTAGACGTTTGGTACACAATCAAAGGTAAATCGGATGAAGTTATACATGGGAGCTACATCCAAATCTGAACCGATCTCGATAAAATTAGGAAATGTATTTCTGAGATGTATTTGACATATTTCCCCAAATATTGTTGTTACAGAATGCATATTACGGCTGCGGAGGACCAAAATAACAAATCGGATGAACAATATATATGGGAGCTATAGCCATATCTGAACCGATTTCGATCAAATTTGGCATACTTATTTTCAGGTCCAATATGATCGTACGTGCAAAATTCCATACTATTCGGACTGATATTACACGTTTGGTGCACAATAAAAGGCAAATCGGACGAACATATATATGGGAGCTATATCTAAATTTTGGCCGATTATCTCCAATTTCAATAGGGTTCGTCCTTGGGCCAAACAAATGATTTGTGCAAAATTTCATCTGGATAGGACAATAAATGCGAACTGTACTTTGTTTACAAAAATACATGGACAGACGGGCGGACGGACCAGAATGTGATTCTATGCAGATCATCAAAAGGAACTATGGGTCTATCTCGTTCCCTTTTGCCAGTTTCCTTTGCTTGTGGTGTAGGGTAAAAAATGTTTAATAGTTGGTATGATCTACTTCACTCTACTTTATTGGTTACGGGTAGCTCTACTAAATGTAGGGCCTTTAAGGTACATAGTGTCTTAACTCTTGAGCTAGTCACCAATGTGGTCTTTTGGACCATTTTATACCCTCCACCATAGCATGGTAGGTAGAATAAAAATTAAATCAGATGTGTATTTAGTCAGCAAGATTGTACTTTCAGAATTATTTAAATCTGAATTTGTTGTAATTGACAGTTTGGGCTCTCAATATGTGGGAAACATCCTTGCATAGGTATGTCCATATAGGTCCAAGTTTTAGTACAGTCCCCATACAACTGTACCTCCAGATCTTCGGTATTTTGGTATTTGGAGTTTGTAATGGGTACTGTGACAAAAAACTTCCTGTACAGATCCCCGCCTTCGTACAGCCCGTATTTTGGTATTTGGAGTTCGTACCCACGTACCCATGACAAAAAAAATTCCTGTACAGATCCCCGCCTTCGGTACCTCTCAATATTCGGATTTTCAACGGATTTTTCAAAAAATTTGTACATGAGTTCTAACATCGGTGACACAATATTGAATGTCTAAGTGCACATTTTCCTATAACGCACATATAACTTTTCCATCGGATACTCGGTATTTTGACGATTTAAGCCACATTTTCTAACAGAATTGTATAAATATTTATTATTTGTACTACAACCGGCGTCAAAACATTGTATATATTGGTCCTTGTTATCCCTACGAAGTTAGGTAAAATTTGGTATCAAAGACTCGCCATGACTTACAATCGTTGTAAATTTGTCCATTTTAGTATGGCCCTCATATAACGGCTTCATCCATTCTCCTACCGAACTTAATGGAGTTTGTAGTTTAAAGTAGAACACGATCGAATCTAGATACTTTGGATAAAAATGTCTTTGTTAGAAATTCGTCCTGTTCGAACATATTGCCTTTTTACTTGTTAACACTAAAATGTATTTCAAAAATTTGATATATTTTGCGACCTTAAATAGAATTTCATGACAAATGATTTTGTAAAATACATATGGTACCGTTCAAACGGAATTATTAGCAATAAAAAAAACGTGAATTTTTCGTGACTCGCTTGAAGGCTAAAATTGTCGACTAAAATAATACTTGTATTATTTTTTAGTAATATTGCCAAAAATACTTTATACCTAAAATGCAAGAATTCAAATCTTAAGAAGACAATTTTAGAAAATGTGGAAAGTGGAGGAACTTGTCAAATGTTACTATTTTATTTAACTATATATGTGTCTTTTTTTTCTTAGCTCTACTTTCATAATCTACAATTTAGGAAATACAATTTTAGTTCAATAACACAATATCCTACAAGTTGCAATTTCTCTAAGATAAAAACTTACCAAGCATTTAAATTCAAAATTTCTTTAAATTCCTTAAAATATTCTAAAAATGTGTATTTATATTTATTCTAACCGATTTATATCCACCGTGAACAAATTATTTCATTTCAATATCATGCCCACTTTAAAATAAAACATTAAATTATAATAACATTCCGCCGAGTGCGGCATTTTGTACAGCATTCAGCACTGGTGATTGTGTGGTTATTTTCAAATTTGTTTTTGGCGGCATCTCATGGTTTCAATTTCGGCCAATATTCATATTATGCTTGGGCTCTGAGCATTAAAACAATCACAACAAAATAATCCTCCATTTAAACGTCCAAAGTATTGTCGTCATAAGCACCACCATCATCACGATGAGAGTTCAATTAAATGTGCCGATTGTTAGGAGTAAACGGTGGAACACAATGGAATATTGACAAAGGAGATGGAGTGGTGGTTCTTTAGAGGGAAGAGGGTATTAAATATTTAAATTAAACATAAAATTACTTTTTAATTGAATTTAAATTACACTTTGAGGTAAAGTTTTACAGTTGGATCCGCAGGCACTATAACCGCGCACCGGCTTGTTCGTTCGTGAACAGGCTTCCATCCACCCGTTTTTTGTTAAGGTTTCGGTGTAGGTTGTCTCTTTTGTGCGTGTGAGCTTTATGTTGCATTCACTATTCCATTTTGTTTAGATTTTATCCGGCCATTCTTTAACGTTACTTTATTTAACATTCAATTAAAATTCTAAATCTTTGATAAAATAAACTACATGAATTGGTAACAGACAGAGGAGATAAGTTGGGGAGAAAAGATTTGTATACAAATCGTGTTGCCAGGTTACAGTAGGAAGCTGACGAGGAAATTTAAATATGACCTGTGGGAGGGTCTTCTAATCATAGAAAAGTTATATGAGGCCTTCTATCCATAGAGGAGCTGTGGGAAGTCTTCTCATCTATACATAGAAGAGCTGTAGGAGCTCATCTACCCATAGAAGAGTTGTGGGAGCTCTTCTATCCATAGAAGAGCTGAGGAAGCTCTTCCATCCATAGAAAGCTGTGGGAGCTCTTCTATCCATAGAAGATCTGTGGGAGCTCTTCTATCCATAGAAGGGCTGTAGGAGCTCTTCTATCCATAGAAGAGCTGTAGGAGCTCTTCTATCCATAGAAGAGCTGTAGGAGCTCTTCTATCCATAGAAGAGCTGTAGGAGCTCTTCTATCAATAGAAGAGCTGTGGGAGCTCTTCTATCAATAGAAGAGCTGTGGGAGCTCTTCTATCAATAGAAGAGCTGTGGGAGCTCTTCTATCAATAGAAGAGCTGTGGGAGCTCTTCTACCAATAGAAGAGCTGTGGTAGCTCTTCTACCAATAGAAGAGCTGTGGGAGCTCTTCTATGCATAGAGGAGCTGTAGGAGATCTTCTATCCATAGAGGAGCTGTAGGAGATCTTCTATCCAAACAAGAGCTGTAGGAGATCTTCTATCCATAGATAGAGCTGTAGGAGCTCTTCTATCCATAGATAGAGCTGTAGGAGCTCTTCTATCCATAGATAGAGCTGTAGGAGCTCTTCTATCCATAGAGCTCTTCTATCTATCTGTAGGAGCTCTTCTATCCATAGAAGAGCAATAGGAGGTCTTCTATCCATAGAAGAGCAATAGGAGGTCTTCTATCCATAGAAGAACTGTAGGAGCTCTTCTATCCATAGAAGAGCTGTAGGAGCTCTTCTATCCATAGAAGAGCTGTAGGAGCTCTTCTATCCATAGAAGAGCTGTAGGAGCTCTTCTATCTATAGAAGAGCAGTGGGAGGTCTCCTATCCATAGAAGAGCAATAGGAGGTCTTCTAATCCCAGAAGAGCTGTAGAAGCTATTCTATTTATAGAAGATCTGTAGGAGCTCTTCTACCTATAGAAGATCTGTAGGAGCTCTTCTACTCATAGAATACCCATATACAGAATACCAAGACTATTTCTATATAGAAGCTGGTCTAACATATTTGTAAGACTCATAGCATTAAAGATCTTGTGTATAGTAGATCTCTTTTTTTAACACAATGGGTTTCAAGTCAAAATCTCGTTCAATATATTAAAACATTTTCTATTCCTCTTTTTACTACAACCTAATCCCACCGAGCATCGATTATTCTATCAGCATATGCCAATAAATACATGTATTAACATTTTTCAAATTAACTTTTATTAATTACATTTTATTTATCACTTCCCCTCTTTTTCTCTTTTTACAGGATGTGATTGCCACCCTGTGGGCTCTACGGGTAAAACATGCAATCACTTAAGTGGTCAATGTCCCTGCAAGGAAGGTGTTACCGGGTTGACATGTAATCGTTGTGCTCGCGGCTATCAACAAACTCGCTCACATGTGGCACCCTGTATAAGTAAGTAGCATACGTTTCACTTCACTCCACCACCCACATCAATAGTCCGAACTATGCGACTTTGAAGTAAAATACAAAATTAATTGATTTATAAACAAGAGAAGACAAGCTGGAAAGACCTACAACGAAGAATCGTTGTCCACACCCGGCCACTCACTCGCGCGCTCACAGGTGGACAACAAAACAGTTGTTCTTCAACTTACCGACTGGCTGACTGACTGACAGAAAGCAATTTAATTACAACAATTTTTATTATTGGAGCTGTTCTTTTTCATCCATTTTGATATTAATGCCAGTCGTGTGTGTTGTTCTTTTTCTTCTTCTTCTTCTTCTCTTTGTGTTTCTCATCCACTTTGTTTTGAAATTTATTATTGTTATTGCTTCTGGGCTGACTGCTGCCGTCGCCGCCGTTGCCGATATACTTTTAATTTCATTTGTGTATTCGACTACCGGCACCTCAAACTACTCTAAATCGTGTTTGAATGACCACGACGCGACGTTGTTGTTGTTGCCGATGCTGATGATGTTGTGAATGACCGTCTCTCTCTTGGTTCCAATTGCATTCGCTTGCACCACGGGCTGGTATTAACAGAAGTGCCAACAAATGCAAATATGATACAGGCGGAAAGTGCAGCGGTCAGTGAATACAGAGAACCGACCCAGGCTGAGGAAATGAAGAAATGTAAGTACCCACAAATATAATAAAAATCCATAACATATTGTAAGGGTTATAAATTCTGAAGGCATACATTTGAGGGAAAATTAGTTTGAACTTTATGAATGGGTCTGAAAGCAAACGCTCAGAAGTCTATAGAGGTGAGTGTTAATGGTTGTATATAGGCGAGTATTCAGGTGTCCATAAGAAGTCAATTTAGACACCTCCTAAGGAGTCTATTTTAGATAGGGTTATGCATTTAATTTAGGAATCTGTAAAGAAGTCAGTATATGCAACTATTAAGGGGAATGTAAAGGATTCTAAGTGTGCGATTTTAAGGAATAATTATTTTAAGAATCTTTAGATATCAAATATTTAAAAAATAGTTATTTTTTTTTAAAATCTATAAAACTGTCAAAGATAAGTCAAACTTTTACTGATGTAAAAATTGAGAATTTTTTTTCTATGGCAGATCTAAAACATAATTCCTTTCTATAAAAGACCTCAAGAAGGTCTCATTTCCATGGTAGACCTTAAGAAAGTCCTTATCCATAGAAGACCTGTAGAAGGTTTTATATCAATAGAGGTCTTGTAAAAGGTCTTTTGCCAATGGGAATCCTTATATGCATAGAATAACTGTAAAAGGTCTTTCATCCGTGGAGGTCTTCTATCCATAGAGGGGCAGTAGAAGGTCGTTAATTAATAGAAGTCCTTATATTCATAGAATAACTGTAAAAGGAGGTACTCTATCCTCTAGAGGGCCTGTAGGAAGTCCACAGAAGGCTAGTAAAAGGTCTATGTCCATAGAAGACAAATTAAGGTGTATTTGTAAATAATATTATTTTTAAAACAGAAACAAAGAATTTTTTTGGAATATACATCCAAAATTAGACGTGGAATTTTTAAATAATACCATTTTTGGAAAGCGGACGAGATTTCCTTTTAAAATATTATTTTGAGAAAACACACATGAAATGTTTATGTTTATGTTTATATATATATATATATATATATATATATATATATATATATATATATATATATATATATATATATATATATATATAAAATCAGGCCCGCTTGAAAAAAAATCAATGGCTGAGTTAAGAAATTTTCTAAGTTTATTTTTTAATTTGATTTTTTTTTAATTCGACATGGAATTTAAAAAATAGACTCAGAAAGTTTCTTAACTCAGCCATTGATTTTTTTTTAAGCGGGCCTGATTTTTTTTTTTTTTTTTTTTTTGGAAATTTTCATATTTTTTTCAAAACGCAGACAATTTTATTCTAAGCATCTAAACATCAACAGTGATCCAAATTTAGCAATTTTCGTACAATTATAGTAGGGTTTTCCAAAACCAACATATCTCAATCCTATTTCAATCCAACAGGGACTTCAATTTTAAATTTTGAGGTTTCCATCCCTATCCGTTCACCCGGTAAACAATTTATTACCACTTAGCACTTTTTGAACATTTACAGCACACATTTCCGAAACCATCTCCATATCTCAATCAAAATATCAGTGACCTCAATATCAAGTTTCAGAATTTAAGTTATAGCACTTCACCCAATACAAAATTTAGTGACCAAGACACCAAGAGTGATCCAAATTAAGTACTATTTAGTACTTTTCATACAATTATAGCACGCATTTCCAGAACCACCTCCATGTCTTAATTACAGATACCAACAGATATCTTAATATCAAATTTGAGGATTCCAGCCCTATTCCTTCACCCAATACCAAGTTTAGTTCCATTTCGTACTTCTCAAACTAATATAGGACGCATTTCCAAACCACCGCCAAATCTAAAACACAGCTCTAAATCTAAATTTCAAATTTCAGAATTCAGAATCAATCCATTTACCCAATTAATATATTACCATTCAGTTAACTTACTATTTAGTACTCTTCACAAACCTACCACCAGCAGGGATCCCAATACAAATTTTCAAAATGCCAGCTTCTTCCGTTCACCCTTAATCACACTGTTCCACATCCGGTGTAATTTACTACAGTTCGCTCACTTATTACACATACCCAAAACCACCTCCGTATACATTCAAGTACTTAAAACTTGGTCAAAATCGGTTAAAATAAAGCTATAGCTCCCACATATATATTTTTCATTCGAGTTGGGATTTAATACCCTTACATTCGCAATATGCACTCCACAATAATAATATTTGGTTACATATACCAGGTACAGCTCAGAAATACATCTGTCAAATTGTATAGAGTTCTGTTAAGATTTCGAAATATAGCTTCCATATATATCTTCATCCGACACAACATCACAATCACAAATTTGTGTTATCAGCCCAAATTGGATGGATTTTTGCACATTCAACTGAATTTTTCCATTTGGCTAAACTTGGTTCTCATATATTTTTTGATCGGTGCACGGACTATTAGACCTGAATTTTTTAAGAATTTATTATTAAACGCGGCGTATTTCTGTAGAATATTTTGTCAGGGACTTTTTGTCATATATTTTTCGAAGAATATTTTCAGGAATTTTATGTGTGGATTTACTAAGAAATACTCCTGGTTGACTATATAGGAAAGGGAATATTTTGTAAAATTTGTTCTCTGGGATATTTTTTTGAAGAACCGTTAGACGTAGACGACCTTTAAAAACTTTTTAGAAGATATTTTTGGCATGGAATTTTTGTAGGTTTTTTTCAATGAATTTTATTAACTTTTTTTCTAAGGAATTGTTTTAAGAGAAATTAGACGTGCAGTAAACAACAGAGATTTTTCCAAGTAAAATTTTCACAGGAAATCGAAAAATCACAATGTACTTCTTATTTCATAACCTTCTAATTTTCAAACATAAATATTATATTACAGTTATTAAACTGTTCCTCTTTCATTTCCATGTTTTTTTCATGTATTTCTTTTTTAATGTCTTTCTATAATTTCCCACTCCGCTATGTGACATCAGATTGTGGCAAATGCAAAGCAACACCCAAGAAATTAAATTTAAATAAATTCTGCATGGAAGATTATGGTAAGTTTGAAAAAAAAAAAAAAAAACATCTGACTTAAGTGCTGAAATTAAAAAGCGTTGTAATTGATGAAAATATTTTTATTCTCGCATTCTGTTTGCAGCTCTTATTGCCAAAGTCATTGGTCATGATAGGGCATCACAAGATATCAGTACAGAGAAATTCTCCATCGAACGCCAAAACGAAATATTCAAATATGAAATAAACATACAAACAATATTTAAACGCAACCCAATGATGGGAACGACGAGTTCAATGTTGGCCCGGGGTCACATGATGTGGTTGGTGCCGCGTAAAAATTTGGAATGTCAATGTCCAAAAATCAAAATGAATAAGTAAGTGGGTCATAACAAATTTTGATTTTATTATATAATGTGATATATATAATATTGCAACAACAAAATAGTGTAAAATATTTTCTCTTGAAAATACAAAATGCTAACATTAATTTGTGTATGTTATTTTCTTCTCTTCTTTTTTTTATTTCCCACCAGAACATATTTAATATTGGGCCGTGATGCCGAAGCGGCACCCGGCTATATGGCCATCGGTCCCAGCTCTGTGGTATTGGAATGGAAAGAAGAATGGTCACTGCGCATGAAACGTTTTCAACGACGAGCGCGTAAATGTAGTTGAATCGAACCGGAAGCGGAATATGTCAGAACGGATTTTAATTTCGTACATTTGGAACGTTATAGAATTTTGTATAAATTGTACAGTTTGCTCAAATTTTTAACTTTCTTTGGCATAATGCTATAAATTACAATATTACTCAAGAGAACTCCCACATACTTAGACACCATTACATATATACATAAACCCTCACACACACATATATACACTCACTCATTAAACACTTTATATTAGGCAAAAAGCAGAGCATTTATAACAATTTTTAATTATTATTATTATTTTTTATCTATATAAATATCTGTATGTAAAGCAAAACAATATATATATTTATTCGTCGAATTGGTGATTTCGTATTTTACCCAAAATAACTACCACAAAAACAAAATGCAGCAACCACTATAAAAGCCAAGTTACTTAAGAATGCTCACAGAAGAGGAAAGAATGAGATGTGCTCTCCTTACACGCACACATATACACAAAGCTACATTTTAAGCTGTTAACATTTGTTTTGGTCCACTGTACTATCCCAGTGAACATTTTCCTTTCAAAATATGACATTTTACCTTCGATGTATTAAGAAGCTGATTGGTTTAAAGAAAAAGAATTGTTAAAAATCCACCTTCGAAACACAATTGATTTGGTGATGAATAATCTAAAATATGTACAATTTTTTTATCCTGCAAATTTTCGCTGGGTTCTGCACAATTGTTATGCACAATTTTATCGAGGTAGTATTGGTATTTCATTACACAAACTGCCTCATATCAATCGTGCAATATTCATAATGATGAACGATTGCAAGTGTCCTGGAATATTAACCGCAAAATTATGGTGTCCCAGTAAAGGACCACACAGTTCATCATTATTCATCATCCACAAAAGAAGTTGAATATGAAAAAAAAATACATCATTGCATGTGGCACAATATTATAATTGTTGTTGGTAACGACTACAGCAACTGCGATGTAATTTTTAATTAATTATGCATGACAGTTGATTGCGCTGATATGTTCTGTTCAGCTATTTTTTTCTCTTCTTGCTCGGTAAGTTGTGTCCATTGTATTATAAATAATTACTTAAAAACCATTAATTCATAATTGTTTTATAATAATTAATTTTTCATACTACTGGATTTTTTTACTTTTTTTTTAAATACATTACTTGTTTTTTTTTTAATTTATTTATGAGGAATTTTTTGTCGACTCTCCATGGCCACACGGCCATGCGTAGTAAAGGGTTTTATTTGTCGTTTAAAGGGTATTTTTTTGATGATATCCAGGGAATTATTAAAGATTTTTTCTAACAGAAATTTTTTTCGGATTATGGCAAGGATTTAATTTTATATTTTTAAAAATATTTTGTTTAGCTCAACAAAGATTTAAAATTAATATTCTATAAATATTTTGCAACAGTGTTCTAGTTATGAATTTCTAATTATATTTTTAACAAAATCTTCAAACAGGGATTTTTAAAGAAGTTCTGTTTCTAAAGAGACATGGGTGAACAAGGACAATTATCAAAAGTGGTGTTAAATGTTTTCTAGGAGAGGTTATTCTGTCAGTGGATTTTTTTTATTTTTTAAAAAAATTAATTTTCCACGAAAAGCCAAGAGTTCAGGATCAAGGTTACACTGCGAGACCAATTTATTTTTCACAATTGGAGGGTTGGGGAGTGTGTGGCTAAGTTCTTCGCTCATCCACATGTTTTAAATTTTTCGATTAATATTCCAAGATATACAAGAATTCTAGACACATACTTCTTCCGCAATATTGCTGATAACATTATGTGGTTTATTTTTATTGACAATTTTAACACTCAAGAGAACGAACTAAGTTACTTTTTTTTTGAAAATATTTTTGAAGACACCTATTAACCGAGATAGTAGAAAGTCAAAATATTCTCCAAATTTTTTTCTTATACAGAGTGAGTTAAAAATACTGCAACGAAATCAAACGCCATAATTTTTAAATATTTTTTTTAAATTTTATTGAATGAAATCAAAAAATTTCGGAAATAGCATCAAATTTTAGAATATGTTTAGATTTTTTCGAATTGGTAACCTTTGCCAAAAATTATTGCCTCCAAACGGCTAATAAAACCGTCACACGCTGCCCGAATGTTGCTCTGCGGTATTTTGGTCCATTCCCGGCGAAGCTCTTACTTGACATAATCGACACTTTGGTATTTTTTAGTGCCAACCTTGCCTTCCAAAATACTCCAGACACAATAGTCCAACTGATTGGTATTCGGAGATTTTGGTGACCATTGTGAGATGGAAATGGATCGAGGAACCTCATTTTGTAACCATTCTTGGGTGGCGCGTGCTGAATGCGATGGTGCTGAGTCCTGTTGGAATGTCCAAGGTCTGCGGCCAAAATATTTGCCTTACCAAGGCTTTAATACACCCTCCAGAATAATTTCGCTATATTATTCGGCATTTTTCTGATGCGAAGGTCGATTAATACGAGCGGAGAGCGACCATCGGCTGTTATGGCGGCCCACACCATCACCATGGCCGGCGCTTGAGTTCTGGTGGCCAACCGAAGGTGCACATTTTCAGCTGACCTCTTTGTTTGTTTACAAACTGCTGAAAAACGAATGTTTTCTCATCGGAGAAAACCAAATACGGCAGTTTAACACTTTCGGCCAAGCGAAGCAACTCTTTAGCTTTTTTGAGTCTATTTTCTTTCTGTTGCGGTGTAAGTCCTTGTACTTTTTGGAATTTCAATGGCTTTACCCCGAGCTCATTTTTCAATATTTGCGAATGAAATACAAACTGCTGGCCAGCGAACGTTTTCTCATTGGAGAAAACCAAATTCGGCAGTTCACACCCTTCGGCCAAGCGAAGCAACTTTTTAGCTTTTTTGAGTTTATTTTTTCTGTTGCGGTGTAAGTTCTTGCACTTTTTGGAATTTCAATGGCGTTACCAAGTTTTCAATATTTGCCGTATGGAATATTGTGATATATTCAGTTCACGAGCCATTTTTCGGCCACTGCCACGCAGGTATTGATCAAGTTGCTTCTTTACTTTTCGAACCATTTCTGCTGATGTTGCTGTTTTCTTCCTTGTTTTCCACTACCTTGACGTCGTGCTACGCTACCAGTATCACGGTAACGAGCGATGGTACGAGACACAAAAGATTTATTCACATTTAAATGCTGGAGTTCTCTAACGATAACCACTTGAGGTTTTCCAGCCAAATATAAAGAAATCACACTATTACGCTTGAATTCCACCACGAATAACTTTTTTCTGGAAAATCCTCACCAAAATGCTTTTATGATTGTAAACAATATAATGCGCTGTCACTGGAATAATTTTAACAGCTGTCGAACAAGTGGCTTAAAAATGACTGCAGTCTGAAGTTAGTTGCAGTTTTTTCATCTCACCCTGTATATGTCCATATCCGCTATATTTTTTTCTGCAAATTTTATTGCCCTTTGTTTGAACTCCTCATTTTTCATTAATTTAATAAATATATTTTTAACTAACCCCATTTGCCATACTTTCAATCACATTAAAATTTAAACATATGCAAATTGTCTATTGATTAAATTTTAATGGAAATATGTTTTTCATACAGACATGTAAATAAAATATGGAAATTTAATTATCACAATTTTTAATTCAATAACCCTTTGGGAGAATTTTTGCATTAATGTTGTGACAATTATGTTGCGTTAAACGTGCATTGCAAATTAATAATAAAAATTTAATTTTAAAAAAGCTATTTTTTCGTTATAAAATATTAAAACACAAAAATATATAATGTGAACCAAATTTACGCCAACTAATGAACATTTTACCAAACAAGTATCATTTTCAAACTAACCAATGTAAAATTTTACCAATTAATTTATGCTATATTCCAGAACCTAAAATGTTAAAAAATATTACTACGATTACCGATTTTCCTTTTATGATTTCGGCAAAAAATCCAAATTTGCATGTTCTAGAATATTTATAAGCATTCTCAACTCCCCACAGAGGTGTAGGGAATAGGAGTAAACTATTTTCTTAGCTGAAAGCATTTCTGATAGCAAAAGTCGTTGGGAACGAATTGAAAATTATGAGGCCATATTCATGATAAGATTAAAAAACTCTTTTACTTTTAATTTATTTACACGTTTTCATATGTTTTTTATTTAAATTACATAAATTGTTTTAACGTTATTAAAACAACAACGTTTAAGGATCTTGATTATCTCATGCTACTTTTCTTATACAAATTCTCATTTTCTCTGAAGAGTTTGTATTTTTATTCCAATAATTTCCAATTGAAAAGTAAATCTGTTGTCCCGAAATTAATTAGAATTCCTAATCAACGCAAAAAGAAACAGGATATTCAATAATCCATGACAAATGTTCATTTCAATTTCAATAATCATTTGTCAGCTATGGCAAAAGCTCATTAATCTCAGAGATTTATTGCTTTTCTATTTACTGATTGAGAAAATTTCTCCTTCGCAACTCAACCACGCAGAGACATTCGTATCAAAATATTTATAAATGTACGTTTTCTTTCTTCCTTTGAGATATCTATAGATATTGCCATGACATATCCACAAATAACCCATGATTGTCTTTGTTATTACCAAATGTCACAGGGATTTTCAGGTATGGAAAAATGTCGCATGGAAAATCCTATGTCCATTGGACATTGCCCCACAATCGTTTGAATAACACCTAACATCGCCTAACGAGACAACCATGTCATTTAACTGAACAACACCGGACAGCATTGAACTATAACAGGGCAGCGCCAATCAAATACTGGGTTATCATTAGAAACAAATCTTCCCAAGCAAATTTCGTAGCACGCAACTAATGTTGGGGCATGAAATAAACGCACACAAAGACAAAAAAAATTTAAATGACAATATGATGTTATATTTAGTTTATGGTTGCATTGTGACAAAAATAGCAGGAAACAAGGTTGCCAGATAATAGAACAAGTAAAAAAAACATTAAGTTCGGCCGTGCCAAACTTTTAATACTCTCCACCTTAGGGTAAAAGAAACATTAGAAGAAATGTGGCAAAAATCATTAAAATGCCGAATATCGGGAGGTACCGTTATGTGGGGGCTACACCAAAACGTGGACCTATAATTACAATGTTTCGCCACGCGAACTAGGAGCCATTATGA